GATCAATGAGCTACAGTGACACACGTACGGGCGCGTCCAATAGGCCTGCCCAACACTACGGGACGTCAATGCATGCCTCCTGGTAGGCCACATCTGTATCTCATGCAAATGCATTCATATAGTGTGGTGTCAAAATACTCTTATATGATGGGACGAAAGCAGTATTTCTTATCTTATCTTACCTATATATATATATATATATATATATATATATATATATATATATATATATATACATATACATATACATATACATACTAATAAAGCATGTATTGTTTCTGGTCGTCCGTCACGCCATTTTACAAATAAACCCCTCATTTTTCTGTAAATCAACCCGCAGTACACGTTTAAGTTATAACCGAACCGTCTTTCTCATTTTCTCAGAAAACCCCCTGATATTTTAGACAATCAACCCGCCGTTCATATTTAAGTCAGCCGAAACATTTTTTTAGTTTTAACAGAAAACCCCTTGACGTTTCGGTTAATTAATCTACAGTTTATTAAAATAAGATTATTCATATCTTTTAAACCGTAACTTAAATTTTAACATGTTATATATGAAACTTGATTAGAAAAATATGTAGAATCTAAATATGAAGTTATTTTTAGCTGTCAAATATTGCTAAAATATAATTTTTGGTGCAAACTTAATATATAGTGTACGGTCTGTTTTTTTTGTACCGTCGGTGATTCAAATTGCAAATAAACATCTATTAAAACCAGAGTGAGAGAAAAAAACATCGAGAACCATGCATACACAACTATGAAAAACCTTGCGGGAAAAAAACAACATACTTTTTATCTTATTTTAAGCGAGTGTGCGCACGTGTGCGCGCGCAAAAGAGAGAGACATTAAGACTAACCACATTCAAACGTGTTTTCATTGTGTGAGCACAGAGGTCACTGTCGGCAACATAAATGTGATGCCATGTGAAACTAAGAGACGTGGGCCTATTAATGTCTTGAGTCATGGTTATTGGGTTAAGAGTGTGTGTTATTTTTTTTCTCGTTGCAATGCACGGGCTTTTTTTTCGAGCGAGTGTGTGAGTATAGAGGAAATACAAATGTGATGCCATGTGAAACTCAAAGACGCGGGCCTATTAAGGTCTTGAGTCATGGTTATTGGGTTAAGAACGTGTATTATTTTCTTTCCCGTTGCAACGCACGTGTTTTTTTGCTAGTCTTTTTCTATACTTTTTGGGTGTATATCCATGCATCCAGTACTCCGTCTTTTTACGTGACCAGTACTTCGTTCCAGTTATGCGACGACGATGTCAAACGCAATAATTTGCTCGTCTTGACCTGAACGGTCGCACCCTGCAAGCAGCGGCCGTCGTTCTAGACCAATTCTTGTCTGTTGCAAACCAACATGCACGAGCTCACCCAAAAGGAAAACGAAATGCATTCAGAGAGTTATTGCCTTCTTTCTTTCGTTCCCATAGCCCAGGACAGGCCACGCTTGATGGCGACTGCGTGCCGGGATTACGGGTCAACGAGGTGTACAGATTTGCTAACCATCGACCATGCTACTCCAAGCACGCAACGACTCATCACCCACCAGCTAGCTAGCGGAGCTAATTATCTTTTTCATGATAATATGTGTCTCATTCAATCATAAAGATTAAAATATAAGTACATAAAGACCAACACAAGAAACCTGAAAAGATAGTAAAACGTCTCTAAGCTTGACACCAACACTCGTTATCTGCCTCCAGCACAACCACAACAGCCACCAATGAAAAAAAATGACGGATCACCTTCTCACCCGATCTCGACGCTACTCCATCACTGATATGCAGCTTTGTGGACCTTCAAGTTGGCTTGCCAAAGGCAAAACCATTACCGTTGAACGAATCAGACCAGCCCAACACCCCGGACACGCCGTTGAACTCCAGATCTGGCATCCCACATGACTAAGGCGTCGGAGGAGAAAACCATACTTGCCATCCACGAACCACGAGCCCAGCACACATTCCGTCTTTCAGATATCATTGATGCAGACCACAATCTGCATCTGCTCTTCGACTACCTCCCAAGCTCCGCATCAACGTTGGGGCAGACATCGTCGCAATGGTGAAGCCTGAGGACACATGTCCACCACAAGGGTGCCGCCGCCGCCACGAAATCTCCGCTTGAACAGACTGGTTCCCAGATCCTTCACCGACCATAGAGACGATCGCCTCGCCGGAGAAGAATCCGAAGCTTCTTTATTCAGCATCGCCGTCACTGTCGTCGAAGCCAAGATGTCGAACGATCCAAAATCCTAAGTTTCTTCGGCCCTAAATCCTAAAGCTAAAATGATCCACACGCACGGGATCCGGCGACCCCCATCACCACCGACGACCAAAAGGTTGCCGGTGGAGGAGAGTCGACAAAAGACGGTGCGGGAAGGAGCAACTCTCCTGGTGACGGCGGCTAGGTTTCGCTACCAGGACGAAAATGATCTTGTCGCAGACCAACCAGACCACCGCTCAACGCCTGTAGCGGAACTAAAATAAGCCGTACGTGCATACGTGTAGTAAGGGCATCTACAACCGGAGTTGTCTAATGCAGGGCTATAAACGTCTGCGACGTTCCAGGACTCACCAACAGACAATGACCAGGCGGCCCTTAAATAACTCAATTTGCAACCATAATTTCTACTTTCGAAACATCAAATAAATGCAAATAGATGCACATCGATCATCATGACAAAATAATTAGTGCACACAAATACAATTATTCGCACGTAAGAGTACATAATCCAAACATTGTTCAAACGTAAAAATGGTTTATAGTCATAATTATAAAAATTAAAGCAAAGTTTACTGATTTTCAGCATGGATTCACATATGCTCCACAAAATTATTGAGAAGTTGCATATGCATCTGCTGATCTTAAAATTGTTGATGCATCTTCAGAACACCGGCCTATTGTTTGACAATATGCTCGGCCTATTGTTTTGGGTGGCGGACCTGAACATCGGGCTTCTCAAAATCATGTGTCGGTTGCCCCTTTACCCTCATCCCCGACAATCATATTGTGTAAGGTGACACAACATGTCATGAATTGCCAAAGTGTCTCCGCTTCTCACATCATTGCAGCTCCACGAATAATACCCCAACGAGCTTGAAGCACTCCAAATGCCCTCTCCACATCCTTCCTAACCGCCTCTTGGAGTGTTGCAAAGTGACTTTGATTTTTTCCATGGGGATCGCATATGGTATTCAAACACCGCCATTGAGGATACATACCAACAACAAGGTAGTACCCCATGTTGTAATTGTGTATGTTGACGATATAGTTGCACGGTGAAGATCCCCCATCACAAAGCCTATTGAACAAGGGAGATCGTTGGAGCACATTGATGTCATTGCATGGACTTGGCATGCCAAAGAAAGCATACCAAATTCACAAATCCTTCGATGCCACTGCTTCAAGTATGAAGGTGACCTCTTTGACATGGCCTTGGTATCGCCCATGCAAACCTTTTGGGCACTCATTTCATTGCCAGTGCATGCAATCAACTGGACCCAACATACCCGAAAATCCTCTTGATGCTCTAATTGCCAATAGCTTTTTGTGTTCTCCATAGTTGGCTATCTCAAATACTCTGGTCCGAACACCTTCACCACAATGCGTGCAAATTGCACTGTCATGTTCAGAACTGTGGTCTCCCCCATCTGGGTTTCAATATAAATTGCATCTGCGGCCTTACCGTAAGCAAGCATCATGAGAGCAGTTGTGCATTTCTGCAAAAGAGAGAAAGAAAGTTGTCTGCAACAATCCTTCCTCAGCTTGAAGCTGTCACCCGCCTTCTTCACGACAGTCACTACACGCAAGAACAAATTTCTGCTCATTGCAAAGCGACATCAAAAGAAACCTTCATAGTATGTTGGGTCCGCCGTGAAGTAGTCTGTGTATAAAAGCCATGCACCGAAAATCCTATCCGGGGAATAACTCTTCGGTCCTTTATGAAACCCTTGAAGTTCAGGAAGTGCTCCTATACCTTCTCCGGCTTCTCTTGGATACTCATCATCATCATCATCATGATCATTTCAGCATCTTCGTCGTTCGAATCCGATAAATCGATGAACTCGTTGAATATGACTTTGTCAAGGTTGGCGTTTTCATAGTCATCATTCTACAACGAATCCATCTGTGACCTAGATATAACAGAAAGAATAAAAAATCGGTTCGGACATTTCATCGAACCATAGTGCGCGAGGTGTATATCCGAGGGAGTAGGATGTACTAGGACGACGACCTTGATTGGTTGCGGTTGGGTCGGCGCGGTGGGTGGGCTGGGGCCTCCGGTGGCGTTGTGGCGTATTTTTGGGCTGGGGGTGCTAGCGGATGAACGATGGTGGGGAACTATAGTGGCGGCTGTGCGGACGAGGAATAAAGGAGAAGAGAAACATGGATGGCCGGGCAAGGAGAGGGGAGGTGTTCTATAGAATTGGTGCGGGCTCTCACGGTCAATCCTATGTGGCAGGCATGTCTGAGCGCGTCCAGGCGTCCCTATATCTAGCTCAGCGCACGTATAGCACCATGTGACCTAATTCGGTGTTCACAACGCATGTGAGTGACCTTTCGGATTCGGCCCCTTCAGCTTGCCGCTGTTGTCCATGCGGCGCCGTTGCACGCGTACCGACCTCAGGATGACCCGTACATGATCACACGCGGCTGCTTTCCGTTGAGGCAGGAGTAGGACCATATGACCATGGAGTCTCCAATCTCCATCCTCGAAGCAGCCATGCTGCAATAAACAAACAGTTTACTCGTCCAACCAACACGATACTACTAATACGTCAAACGTCATCACTTGCGTTATGCATAACCAAATGCATGGATTGATTCTCACTGTCATGCGTCCCGCTATCTGAGCAACCCGTGCCTGCCTATAAATACAGCCGCCCGTGCCGAAGCAGCCAATCCATCACACCGATCCCCGGCCAACCAAGCAGCTACGAAACGAAGCAACCGCCGGCCGTCGACCGATCTTGATCGTCTCGGAGAAGATGGGTTCGATGGGGCCCGCCGCCGGGAAGCCGCACGCGGTGTGCCTGCCGTACCCGGCGCAGGGGCACATCACCCCGATGCTCAACGTCGCCAAGCTGCTCCACGCCCGGGGCTTCCACGTCACCTTCGTCAACACCGAGTACAACCACGCGCGTCTCGTCCGCTCCCGCGGCCTCGCCGCCGTGGCCGGCCTCCCGGGCTTCCGCTTCGCCACCATCCCCGACGGCCTGCCGCCGTCCGACGACGACGACGTCACGCAGGACATCCCGGCGCTCTGCAAGTCCACCACGGAGACCTGCCTCGGGCCCTTCCGCAGCCTTCTCGCCCGGCTCAACGACCCCGCCGCGGGCCACCCGCTGGTCACCTGCGTCGTCTCCGACGTCGTCATGGGCTTCTCCATGGAGGCTGCCAACGAGCTCGGCCTCACCTACGTCCAGCTCTGGACCGCCAGCGCCATCAGCTACCTCGGGTACCGCCACTACCGCCTCCTCATCGGCCGGGGCATCGTCCCACTCAAAGGTACATGTACGTACGTAGGTACATCTTTTAGTTTGTCCCCCACTCAGTGCGCCCGTCACTCGATGCGGCGCACGTTGCGTCCCCACCACGTACACACTCTGCCATTATCAGCGCACAGCTGCTGATCGAATCTCTTATCTGAATGTTTGTCTTTACGCGCGTGCAGATGCCGAGCAGCTGACGAACGGATACCTTGACATGCCGGTGGAAGACGTGCCTGGCCTGAGGAGCATGAGGCTCAGGGACTTCCCGTCCTTCATACGCACCACTGACCCGGACGAGTACATAGTGCACTACGTCCTAAGGGAGACGGAGCGCACGGCCGGCGCGTCTGCCGTCATCCTCAACAGCTTCGCCGACCTGGAGGGCGAGTCGGTGGAGGCCATGGAGGCGCTCGGCCTGCCCAAGGTGTATACGCTCGGCCCTCTCCCGCTGCTGGCGCGCGAGGAGCCGCCCACGCCGCGCTCCGCCATCAACCTCAGCCTGTGGAAGGAGCAGGAGGAGTGCCTGCAGTGGCTGGAAGGCAGGGAGCCCGGCTCCGTCGTGTACGTCAACTTCGGCAGCATCACCGTCATGACCAGCGCGCAGATGGTGGAGTTCGCGTGGGGGCTGGCGCAGAGCGGGAAGCAGTTCATGTGGATCGTCCGCCGAGACCTGGTGAGAGGCGACGCCGCCGTGCTCCCCGAGGAGTTCCTGGCCGAGACGGCGGGGCGCGGGCTCATGGCGTCCTGGTGCCCGCAGCCGGAGGTGCTGGACCACCCCGCCGTGGGCGCCTTCCTAACGCACAGCGGCTGGAACTCGGCCCTGGAGAGCTTGTGCGGCGGCGTGCCAGTGATCAGCTGGCCTTTCTTCGCCGACCAGCAGACCAACTGCAGGTACCAGTGCAACGAGTGGGGCGTCGGCATGGAGATCGATAGCAACGTCCGGCGCGATGCCGTCGCGGGACTTATCACGGAGATCATGGAAGGGGAGAAGGGGAAGGGGATGAGGAAGAGAGCGGCGCAGTGGAAGGACAGCGCGGTCAAGGCGGCCATGCCTGGCGGCTCGTCTCACCGCAACTTCGACGGGCTGGTCCGCGACGTGCTCCTGCCCAAGAACTAGCTCTAGATCATCGACATCCATTGTAACTATATAGAACAATGTATCTTATTTGTTTGTCAAGAAGGTTCGTTTCTTTCGAGAGTGATGGGCCCCGAGTGATCAGCGTAGTTGTGTAGAACGATAGAGAACAGGCCACTTAGTCCAATTGTACTAGTAGGAGTGTAGGACCGAAGAAACAAATGGCGCATGGCTACTCGCTGCTATATATGACCTGCATTCGTTGGATTGGATCGTGTGGCTTTACTTGTTTCTTTCTGTCGGTATGTAAGAGCATGGTTAGAGCATCTCCAACACACGCATAAAAGTTCCGCCTATTAAAATAGTTTTAGCGCCTCACTGTAGCACTTTTAGCGCGTCGGACCCAACATTGGTTTAGTAGATTCCCAAAAACGCGCGTCAAAAAAACACGCAGTGTAAATTGTGAAGTGCGGGTAATCCGGCGTCCCAAATTTGCAGCTTTTAATAGCGCTTTTTAGCGCGTGCCCGATCCTTTTTTGTGTGTGCACTATTTCACAGCTTCTGCTGGAGCTGTTCGGTGTCCAAAAAACTCGAATTTTAACGCACATGGCAGTTTTTGTGCTCCTGTTAAAGATGCTCTTAGAACAAGATTAATAGCACAGTCAACTGCTGGCTATAAGTCATTGCCACATCACCTAAAACCTTCTTCACCCATAGAATAGGCTGGCTGCAAAGGAGAGTGGCAATAGAGCACACGAGCTGGCTTGCTCCTATTAGCTGCACCAATGGAACAATCACACGTGGGCACATGTATTAAGTGTGGGTGTGCAAAACAGGGAAGGATATGCAGCATCCACAGTAGCATACGGTGACAGGTTCCGTTTAATGTGACGGCATGAAGACGGTAGGATATGCACATATGTTCCGTCAGCCCGAAATTTTTATTAATAATAATTAATAATCCAGTAATTAGGAAAGTAATAAAGTGTAAATGGAAATTTTAAATATAATAAGGACGCGGTCAACAACAGCGTCCCTATATGGACGCACATGCTAATGACGTCCACCCCTGGACGCTATTTTGGATAGCATCCATTCACCATCTGGTTGGGTCCAGCCTGCATCCATCTTGTGCCTGTCGCCCACCTTCATCTCCTCTCCTACCACGGCCGGCCCTAGCCTCCGGCAAATCCCCGCCGCTCACCTTGCTCGGACCGCCTCCGCCTCCGCCTCGTCCCCCACCTCCTCACGACCGGCTCGGCCTCCGCCTCGTCCCCCGCCTCCTCACGATCGCCCCTCCCTCCGG